GAATCGGGGGGGGGGTTGGGTTTCTCGGAAGGGGGGAAGGGGGTTGGGTCTTTTAGCGTTTGGAAAAAGGGGGAAGGGGAAAAAAAAAAAAAAAGAGGAAAAAAAGGGAAAAAAAAAAAAAAAAAAAAAAAAGGGGGGGGGAAAAAAAAAAAAAAAAAAAAAAGGGGGGGGGGGGGGGAAAAAAAAAAAAAAAAAAAAAAAAAAAAAAAAAAGAGGAAAAAAAAAAAAAAAAAAAAAAAAAAAGGGGGGAAACAAAAAAAAAAAAAAAAAAAAAAAAAAAAAAAAAAAAATAAAAAAAAAAGATTTTCTTCCCTCTCTTTTTTTTTTTTCGGGGGCCGGGGAGGAAAAAAAAATAGAAATATGGGAAATTTTTTGTATAAAAAAGGGGAAAAACGGGGAAAGGACGGAAAAAACAAAAAAAAAAAGGGGCGCAAAAAGCGAAAAATCAAAAAAATTGTGTGAAAAATATAAAAAAAAAAAATTACAAAAAAAAAAAAAAAAAACAACCTCAAAAGATATGGAGGAAAAAAAAAATTTTTAAATGTGGGGGGGGGGGAAAAAAAAAAAATTTAAAAAAAAAAAAAAAAAAAAAAAAAAAAAAAAGGATAAATTTTGAATCCTTTGGTTTCCCTTTTAAAATCTTTTATGGGGGGAAAAAAATGAGGGGGGGGGGAAAGGGAAAAGGGGGGGGGCGGCGCCGAACCCGAGGGGGGATCTTAAAACAATGGACAGTATCTAGGCAATACCTACCTAGGGGAAAAGTTTTAGCGTTTTATCGTGTATTTTCAGACTTGTTGTTGCTAAAACCACGTTAAAATTTGAATATTTTGACGATTTTTCTACATTTTTGATCAAATATCAAAATTTTAAAATGGCACGTACTTTCTTTTTGGGGCTTATTCTCAGCTAGGAATAGATTTTATATTTTTTTCAGCGCCTTACAGTTTTCTAACGGTTTTATTTGCTAAAACGTCATAAAAACATCATTAGAAAATGTTAAAAAAATTTAATTTTTGCCGATTTTCATGCATTTTTGGCTAAACATCAAAATTCATACTTCAAAACAGCGTAGAATCCTCCTAAAATGGTGCGGCTTTCATTAATAAGGCCCTACGGGACGATAAGCCAAAGTCAGTACCCCCCGCTAATAATCCAGAGCCCCATTTCCGCTCGCGCAAACTACTTATGTTAGCTCTCTTTATATTCCCCCACTGTTCATAAGCTCAACTTGTACATCATCACCCCCCATTCAAACATATTACACGTATAATCATATGTTTTAAACATTATTTTTCTTGTCTTGTTATAATGGGTATCTGCCACCGTTTGGAGGGTATGACCGTGAATATCATTGTGATTTGTAACGTGTGAACGAGAATAGCCGATAGTAAAAGGCACCGCTTTCCCCGCCCGTTGTTTTAGACATGATATGTAATTTTTTTTGCTTTTTAGAAGGTGAATAAATCTTCCGAGTTCTGTGGAGAGAAAAACACACAAAACAGCGGCACATTTTGGCATGAATACCTTTAATACCTAACCAAAACCCAGATTTTAACTTTGTGTAACGGAAAAATAGATAATTTAAGAGTCAATAACTTTACAACTTTCAAAAAGTCGACTTTTCCATTTTTGGTTCCGTCGACGATTTGCCCGTGCCGCGCTATAGCGCGCCCGTTGCGATGACAACACCTAAATCCTTCCTCGCTCGATCAAAAACCCAGCAAAATTAGTTTTACTAATTAAAATTAAAACATTGAAACATTTAGATAGGCAAATGTTATTGAAAATGATTGGTATTACACATTGCTGCTTGATGAGCTTTCGTAAAGTCCGATATCGTCGCGAATATACCCAATTTACTCGGTTTTCAAAAGCAGTTTTTGTCCCGGATTCGCTTGCGGATAGCCATAGGGGGTTTTTTTTCAGTGAAAAATAGGGGTATACCGGTAATAACGATAAGTTTTCTGAAATCCCTGAAATGGATGCGAAAATGTCCATTTTACCCAGTTAAAAAAATCAATTTTGATTCCGAACTCTTTTGCGAACCTGTATTGCTTTCTGTAAGCTTTTTCATTGAAAAATAAGGATAAGAAGAGGCTATCGTTGTCAGAGATTCTACGATGAATCAATTCCCCGGATTAACAGACCCCTTGGTACTTATCAAGTTGGGGGGGGCCACTTTGGTTTTCGACTTTTTGAGTCTTTCTAGGCTAGTTTTTTGTGCTGGTTCCGAATATAACAAAATCAGAGTAGTAAAACATCATTATCTAAACGTTTGTTAAGAGTTAGAGTTTCAGCTACCCAGTTTGAGCCTAAAAATAAGGCTTCGTGCCACCCGGGGCCTAGTCGCTTCGGATGGGTGCGAGCTCGTACAGGGTTTCGAAATCGGGGCGCCCGAGGAGCGCGAAGCGCCCAGGCGCCCCGATTTTGAAAGAGTGGAGCGGCAGCCCATCCGAAGCGACGGCCCGCCTTGCCTGACGATGCGGCATGCCCAAATTGTGCATAAGTCCACTTTTTATTAATAAATTTTTTACGCTGTTTTTCTGGATAAACCCAACGGTTTGACATGCTGTTGCGACTCTAATCGCATTCAGCGTAAAAAACTACCCCAGAAAGACTCGAAAAAGCGATAAAAAAGTGTCTCCTAATAGGTACCCAAAGTGGCCCCCCCCAACTTGATAAGTACCGACCCCTTTTCTATTCCGGAAAACCTTTCGACGTCACCTCTTCCGGTCCCATTCCACGCCCGCAATCGCGGGCACCTCGCCCTGAAATTGAAATCGAATTCATCAAACGGCGTCGGGGGGCGCCGACGCTGCTTTTCCCCCCTTACGTCCCCCCTAGTCTAACCCCGGGTATGGGCAATCGGCCAATATGCGCGACATCGGATAAGGTTATTTCTTTTTCTGAGCTTTTCAGGGCTTGAGTTTACACTTCGCCTTTAAAGCCATATTTAGGGTGAGGCCCAGGAGCCCGATCGAATGCTGAATGTCCCCTCCACTTCTGGCCTCACCGCGGTAGGCTAGTGCCTAATTTACGAAAAAATAATTTTAGAAACCTTCTGTCGGTCGTTCAGAATATGGGCGTGTCAAGGTAGCGTTGGGCCCAGGAAAGGTAGGTATATCAAAATTGATCAAAGAATTTTTAGGGCCTTATGGACTGGGTGCGGCTGACAAAGAACAAGGTGTTGGCCAAGAAACAGATGAAGTTCGTGGATCACGAAGAGTTGTCGAAGCACAGCACCGAGGAGGATTGCTGGATACATTTGTTTGGAAAGGTAGCTTTTTTTGATCGTTTTTCTTACAATGAGTAGCTTTTAGGTGATCTTTGTTTGTTCTGAAAGGTTTTACTTTGTAAAACGGGGCAAGTCGGCCCTTTCAGACAACTTTTCTCGCAGACCGTAGTCGTGCAGCAATTTTGGAAAAATGGGACCTGTTCAGAAGTTTAATCTTTATCGAATCGGCTATAACGGAACCTATAACGGATCATTGTCAGGTTTCTAAAAGGGTATTTAGGTCTACGACGTAACGGAATATCTTGATTTCCACCCGGGCGGCAAGCCGGAGCTGATGAGGGCAGCCGGGCGAGATGGCACCGCGCTTTTCAACCAGTATCACGCGTGGGTACGCTACGAGACGATCCTAGAGAGCTGCTACGTCGGCGCTTTCAAGGGGAACCTATCACATTGTAAGCGACTTATTTCGACGAATTGGCAACGGGTATTTAGCGCGTAACGCCTTTCCTAAAGTTTTTTTTCATATAAACAACGCTTTAATCTGCTAAGATCTAGAAATTGTTGGGAGCTCTAAATCAGAAAGGCGCGCAGGGCGTCAAATTGGCGTTTCCCTTTTTCCTTTTTATATCCTTTTCTTTTCAGTGAAACCATGCGATCCTCCAACTACCGAAAATCGCGAATCGGCCGGCGGTGATCAGGATTTACGAGATGCGACTATGTTTGTAATCTAATAGAATTAAGACAGCCTTTTTAGGGTGATGACGATGTTCGATCGGCTAATTGTCGCCAATAAAGAGTGGAAAGGTAGCTGTTCAAAAAAAATTAGTATTCTTGCTTTTAGGAATCACCAGCGAATGCCTAACCATATCGACGACCAAGAACAGTTTGCGAATCCTTGTCCGCCCGTTCAACAAGGAGCCCGTGCAGATTGAGTGGGGTAAAATGCGTGTAGAACCTTCTGCAATGAGAATCTAATTTTAGTCGGTGTTCCCCGGCCGATTGCCGAAGCCTCTTTCAAGTTGGAGATGAATGACGAGCAGGTAATTTTATGCAGAATTTGCTTTATTAAAGAGCTTCTAGATAATCCTGATCTTCGATGTGACGATTTCGATAAAAATCCTCGAGTCAGCTGGGATCTACAAATTGGAAAGAAATCCAGGTTGGAGAGAATTTTTTTGAAGAAGCTTTCTTCTAAAATGACTCTTTCGCAAAATTATAATTAGAAAAGTTTGTCTTGCTACTCTTGCTCCTTTTGACCTTTTTCTCTTGGCAGCTAGCTGAACGCCGATTTTTCGCAATGCTGATATGTCTGAAAAATTATTTGGAAAATAGGAAAAAAGGGCCTTTTCAGAAAATGATTTATTTAAAACGTGATTTTCGACCCTGGTATTTTTTGCAAAAAAATGTTATGAAAAACCGACCTGACTATTATTCTTGAATGTAAATTTCTCGCTTTAGCTCGTCGATACCACGCTACGACGGTGACAGCGATAAAGCGGCTCAACCACGACACGCTGCTCATCGACTTGGAGCTGCCGCGCGGGCTGTACATGCCGATACCCGTCGGCCACCACAACTCGTTGGCTATCAAGAAAGGAGGTGGGTTTCTTCCAAATATTTCCAGCAACATTTCTCCCTTTCCAAAAACGAAACCATCTTTATTCATCTGGGGGCCCAAGGTAACGTCATTTGAACACAAAAGTTTTCGTTTTGCTTTAATCGATATGGCAGAGCAGAGCAGTCAATGGATGGCGTGGCGCGTCTAGGCGTCTTCCGTAATTTCCAGCTTGAAGGCGCTGATGGCGCCCACCTGGGCGTCCCTAAAATTATCGTTTTTAGGGGTCAAAGGACTAAAAAAAAAACCAGAAACGAAAAAAAACCTACTCATCGCGCAGCATGCGCCTGCGCAGCGCGAATTCAAAGGCGGCCAGGTGGAGAAAGAGGTACTGCTCGGGGCGCTGAAAAAACACGTTTTTTTTTTCGTGGTCGGATTTTGAAATGTCGATATCTCAATTTTTCGGATTTTGGCATGATCAAATCTCCCCGAAAATATGGAAAATCGGTGACCGAAAATGGGTACTGAGCTGTTAGCGGGGGAGGCTACTTTTTATTTTTTTGCCTAGACCTGTGGTTAATCCCCTTCTCCCACCTGAACAGCCATGGCGCGTTGCGTGCGCAGCTTGAGCACCGTGTTCTCGACGTCGATGAGCGGGCCATCCGGGTCGTCGATCGACTCTTCGAGCCTCTTGCACAGAATGTCGAGCGCGACCAGCGTCGCCGAGCGGTTCACCCCGGTGTGGCACGAGACGAGAATCGGCGACTTGTCCTCACGGTTCAGCCAGCCGACCCCCCTCGGCCTCCTCGACCAACCCCTCGTACGCGTTGTTCAGGTCGGTCAGCAGGTTCAGCACCTCCGTCGGACGGGTCGGGGTGCTAAACGGGGAATCGACGACGTCAAGTTTCGGCTACGCGAAGCTTTACCATTATCAGGGGGGACTTGCTTATCCTTAGGATCTAATTTATCGGTTCTTCCGCATTATTGCCGGGGGACAATTTTTTTGTATGAATCTGCAAACGCTTACAAGGAGTCGCTTTTTTAGGTGCTTTTGGAGTTTCGGGATTAGCAGCTTAAAAGGAAGTATTTTGCTAGTTTTTAGTACAATAAAACTGTTTGAAATAGAAAAACCGTCTAAAAACTTTGAAAAATTCCAATTTAGTCAAAAACGGCCATTTTTACGCGAAAAAGCGATATTTTTGTATTTTTTTTATCCAATTTCGTAAAGTTTTTACATTTAGCACTAATAAAGAACAGTTTAAAACCACTTCCGCAAAGAAATTGTCTTTCCTCCCCCCCCCGATAATGCGAAAGAACCGAATAATGAATAGATCAAAGTACCCGAGCCGCGTATCCCAGTCGTGGCAGATGACGTGCAGCAAATGGCGCCACTCCTTCCCGTCCTTGGCCACGTGTATGTTGGTGGCGCAGTAGTGGCCACGCACACACTCATGGCTGCTCGCCTCGATCGTGAACGGGCCGAACGTCAGCGCCTTCTCCGTGTTTATCGGCAAGTAACGGGGGCAAGCCTAGGATTGTCGGATCTTTTGCATTTACGGGGGTGGGAGGTCAAACTGAACTTCTTGAGACCCACCACCCCATCCAGCGGCACCATGTTGATGATGACGGGCACCTTCTCCTGCCAAATCATATGCCACCACTGCTCGGCGTTGTGCGGCATCGGCGACTGGGCCAAGATGTACGCCTGTGCGCGGTAACCGGCCACGTAGCTCGCGTGGTAGTAGTCGTGGTCGGCGGTCGGGTGCTTCACCTGAAAGTTCGGGTCAGAGGCTATGCTTTTTAAGCAAGCTGTAGATGATCTAATACTGGACTGCTAGCAGGGGAGGGAACCAATTTCTGTTTTTCCAACTATACCTGCCTGTTGATGATGTATTATGTATTTTTATAGTGATTTTAGTAGTTTTTGATTGCTGGAAAGTCATAAAACTATTTCGTATCTTGTTTTTATATCTAAAAACGAAGGAAATTGCTATAAAAATGGTTTATATTTTGTTATAGGGCCGTAGAAAACATAGGGAAAATTTTGCCCCCCGCTAACAAGCCAGTACCGAACCGACAACCCGTTACCTTGACCCGAGTATCGTCATAGCAAGGGATATCCGTGTAGCGGTTCTGGTCAGGCCATTTCTTGTACGTCGAAATGGCTCTGAAAAACCGTCTTTAGTTGCGTAACGTAACGATTTCGCGGCGCGGCTCTGAACTTGACGATGACGCTGACTTGCGCGGATCCCGTTGAATGACGGTGGTGTAGTGGAAGAACACATTGCCAGACGTCGCTGTCCGTCATCGCGTTCGCAAACTCGGTGAGCGTCTTCCTGGACTGGTTCGGCCCCTTGAGGTCGTGCATGTACTCCCCGTCCAACAGGTCGATACTGAACAACGGGTTTAATGTTGAGGTTGACCGATTTCCTCACGTAATTGGTGGCCACACCGGGTCGTAGCCGACGCTCATCGTGGCCGTGCTCCCGCTGCTGCTCGCGCTGTTCGACGATTTGGAGGGCTGAAAAAATGATTTTGGAGCAACAAAATTGATTTTTTTTACCTCATTGTCGCTCACTTGCGCCATTTCGTCGACTGGAAATAGTAGTTGCTCAATCAATAAATGTGGCCCACCTCGCAGTTCGAGTCCGAAACGACGAATGAAAAAGGTGTTTTGAGGTTTTGAGGCGAGCGAGCGGGTTCCTTGATGCAGTGGATAATTATGTAAATTTAGGAAATTAAAGTAGCTTTTGGTCTGATCATTTGGGCAGGCTAGCAGAGACCCTTGGGGGAGGTTTCCCTTACGCTAGCTAATTCAATTCGATTGAAATTTGGTGACTATTAACTTTATTTACTTTACATTTTTTCAGCCGCAACAATCTACCGTGAATACACGCCCGTCAGCAGCAAGCGCGACTCGATCCAATATATGATCAAGATCTACGAGGACGGCCTATGCACGCCGACGATTCTGAAGTGGAAAGAGGGCAAGTAGCAGTCCCTTTAGTTTCAACTATTTTTCTCAGGCGATGAGGTGCAAATATCGGACCCGATCGGCGACTGGGACCTCTCGGAATGGCTCGTCGCCGACGATCTGCTCGTCTTGGCGGCCGGAAGTGGGTGGACGCCGATGGTGGAGCTGCTGCGGCGAAAGCTCGAGCTCAACGACTCGGCCAAGTAAGACAATTTCCTGAAGTCACGTTTCTTTGAATTCCAAATTTCCCGCCTTCTACTTCAACAAATCTGAACGAGATATTGTCGACGACGGTTGGATGCCCCTTCCGATGGCACGATAAGCGGATAAAAATAGGTAAGTTAGGTTGCGGTGTGCCCCTAACTTTTAGTCAAATTGGTAACAAGTTCATTCCTTAGAATAGTTTTTAGTAATTTGTAGCTAGATTTAAGGCCTGGCAATTGAATTTTTTGTTTATTGTTTTGTATCCCTATTTAGAAAAACCCGCTATTTCGTCGTTTGTAAAAATGTTAGTGCGGATTATCCATATGTTTTCGCTTTATTTATTTTTGGTTTTTGTTTACGGCCCACTTCCCATCTCAGCATTTTGTTTTTGTCCTTAAAAATCAATTCAGATCACCCATGTCCTTTCCCGCTCGACAGATGAATGGAAGGGCATGAGGGGAAGAATATCGAAAGAATTATTCCAGGTAATTTTTTTAGGCTATAATCGTATACCAATTTTCATTGAAGGACCACGCCTCCCAAAAGTCGACTCAACGTGTAATCGTCTGTGGCCCCGACGGCTTTATTCAATCGGCGCTAAGGTAATCACGAGGCTAAGGTAGAAATCTCTTTTTTTAGTATACTAGCCGACCTCGACTACTCTGTCGACCAAGTGCACGTATTCCAGGGCTAACAACCCCCAGTGCTGTCTGTGATCTATAGGTTGCTATTTTTTGTGATACGATAAAGTTTCCGAAGCCTTTTTTTGTGCCCCGGAAACTACGAATGACCGGTAGCCACCCAAAAATTGTATCTCTTGCTTTTTGGGCAGCGGTGGGGGTGGGACGGGAGCTTTGCACATTTTTGATTGCGGATTATCGTTGTGGTCGGTTCAAAATGACCATACAACTTTTTCAGGGCCAAGAGCGCTTTGAATTTTAGGTTTTTGCTAGTTCTAGTTTAGGGTTTTTAGGTTGCACCTTCCTTTAGGCGGTCCAATTCGGTTCTAGTTCGTTAGCTAGGGGGATCAGCTTCCTCTACTTAGCTGAACGTCTATTGTAACAATACATAGACGAATTTTATGGTATTTTAGCAGCTTCTGGTTACTAAAAATAAAACATTTTTGACCCAAAAGCACATTTTTATTAATTTCTGCTACACTTTGTGCGCCAGGAAATTTATATCAAGTGCTATTCAAAATAGTTTTTTATTATTCGGCGTCTCCTCGAACCTAGGAAAGCCTAGATTTCCTCCGCTAGCCACCCCGCTAACGAATAAGAACCTGATATTGTAGTCGTACTCCCTTCCTTTAGGTGGCCAAATTTACATACGATTTCCCGGGGCGGCTGTTCGGCTATCACATTGAACGCCGGCCGGGGGGCGACGTGCGGCTCCAAGCCGCCTAGCCGTTTGGTCGGCTTATCTAAAGAGAGGCCGAGGGCCGCGAAAGGGGATTTGTGATGTGTCTATTTGTCCCCTAGCCGGGCCTCCCTCACTTCCACTTCCTCTCCCCCTCCTGCTGCTGCTGCTGCCAATGGGTTCTCTGTTCTCCTCATCCCGGTCCTCCCCATATGACCCTCCGCCCTCTATTCTCGTGTCCACCTCTTGGCCCGGACCCACCAAAAAGCTGCCTGCAAAAAAATAGCCAAACAACCTCGCAGCTCTTCCCTTTGCCTTCTCCTTCTCCTCCTCATCCCACCTCGACCCTCCCACGAATATCACCCAACACCCAGCCCGTGCCGGCTATCTGTTGACCTAAGAAGCCGCTTTTTGTTGTTGTTAATCCAGGGTTTTAGAAAATAAGCGCGAAATCGAGCCTGGATCTACAGATTTTACAATTATTAAGCTTTAGGCGTCAGGTTTAAAACTATTGCACGATGTTGCGTACCTTTTTAGAGGTTCTGTTGACCAAAAACGCGGCTTTTTGTTGTTGTTAATCTGTATTTTTAGAAAACGAGCCCGAAACCTAGCCTGAATCTGCAGATTTTACAATTTTTAGCTTTAGGCTGCTTCAAGTTACACCTGTTCGACTATTCTAGCTTTTACTTACTTTATTATATAATTTTTTTTGATTATATGGATCGGCGCCGATAGAATTGTGTTGCATCTAAAGCCTCTATCTTTTAGAGGATTGTTTTTTATCACTATCTCTTACTTTCTAGGTCTTTGCCTGACATCATTTCATTCTTTCACACCCCTCGCGCACGCCGGCCGCTCACATTTTTCCGGACGCCCGAGAGTATCCTTGATTTTGAAAAGATAAAGTTTCGTACAACCCCGCGATCCCCGGCCCAAATTCACCCTCAGCGCCTCACAAAAATTACCTGACGATTTTCCGGCCGATAACCGCCCCCGGAAACGATGCTAGACACCGGTTTTGGTGAGCTAACTTTTGTAAAAATTATGGGGTGAGAGAATTATCGCCTCGACGCTGACCGCCAAATATTAGCAAAGGCTTTTTTTCGTGGGCTGCTATAAAAGTTCGTATTTTTCAGGTTATCTTACAAGTTCTACACGCCTTTTCTTGTCTTTAATTTCTTAATTTATTTACGAAAGTTTAGCTTAAAATAATACTATTTGTTTTCTTTATAGGTGACTACTCCGAAATGTCGATCCCATGTCCGCCTCCTCCGGGGGAGGGCGAGGACATTTATAAAGGAAAGAAGGTAAAAACTATTAAAGTTTTCTTATTTTTATTTTAATATTATCATCGGCGTTTGCGCGATGCACCGGAAAGCGACGAGCAAGCCGATGCGCGCGATTATGGGCCGGATAATTGAAAATTATAAGGTGGGCCATCATCTGCAACTGAATACGCAACCAAATTGTCATATTTCTTCAAATAATGAAAAATCCATTTCAGGAGTGGCTCGAATATTTTGTATTCCCGGAAGAGGTGATTGTAAACGAGCCTGTGGAAAGGTGGCCCCTCTGCGATTGCCTCATCTCATTCCATTCTACAGGTACCGGCGTTTTTCGAGACTAGAACAAGCTCTTAGAATTCCCTCTTCACAAAGCTATCGCCTACCGGAAGCTCCGGAAGCCGTACGCGATTAATGATTTGCAACGACAATACGATTTGGTATGAAATGAAGCCTATGATTTAGATAGTTTTTTTTAGCTTGATCGTCAAAAGGTGTTTGCGACGTTGGCGTATCATAGAATCTGCCACCCGAGGCATGGAGTGGTCATTCGCGATGGTGTTAGTGATAGTGAGTTTTTGGTGCTTTTGCATTATCGGGGGGGGGGCGCACGTTTTTTGAAGGGATCTATTTTTTCTAATATAAATTTAGGAAGTGTTTCTCCACCGTTTTTTATTATTCTTAAGACCTTTCCAACGGGTTGTGATGAAAAATACCAAAAATTGCGGGTTTTACAATGCATTGTTTGGGAATTTTTTATTGTTTTTTTTTCAGCTTAAAATATATTTAAATTTTGCTCAAAACTATTAAAACACTAACAATTGCATTCTTTCTGGGCTTGTAGGAAAAAATGGATCCACAATATTTTTGTTTTAGTTTTTTTGCAGCCGAATTTGGAGGATTTTTTGTAATTTTACCTATATATTTTGTTTTTAATTACCCGAAATACACATTTAGAAAATGACCTCGTCGAACACCCCGATCACATCGAAGTCAACGGCATGGTGTTCAACAAGCCGTTCGTCGAAAAGCCCCTCTCCGCCGAAGACCACAACATCTACATCTACTACCCGAGCAACGTGGGCGGCGGCAGCCAGCGGCTGTTCAGGAAGGTGCGTGGAGTACAACTCCTCCCCCGAACATTGTGCGGGCCCCTGTAGTAGCGTCGGTGTGGTGGCGTCATTTTCGTAGTGGCTTTTCATTTTTCTTCATTGCATGAGTACCGCCTCTCACAACGCCGCCCCGCCGCCACCGGAAATGAATATACCCCTCCTACGTGCTTCTGAATGATTTATTAGGCATTTGTGGGTAGATTGGTAGAATTTCATTAAAATATTTCGTTAATTTACGAAGTATTTTGAAGGGGTAAATACTTGGAATAACGTTAATTTATAATGTTTTTATAATTATTAGAGACCTAAAATTCAGATAAAAATATAGCTTTTCGAAGCGTTGGAAAATGCATTGTTCTGCCATGTTTTTCGACTTTTTTGAGAGCTTTTGCACACTGTTTTCGACGCATAAAAGTCCTCTAGAAATACGTAAGCAAGAAAAGGATCATCCAAACCTACTAAAAACGTTAGAAAATGATGAACCGATTTTCTGCATTTTTCACTTTTGTTTTGGAACTTGGACAGTCATTCTAAAAATGCCCATGTAGGAGAAGAGTAGCGCTCTAAAAATCACCTAACTCAAATCGAAAACTGTCTTCGCCAAAATCTTGTAAAAACGTTAGAAACTCGCCCGTTTTGTCCGTATTTTTGGAGCTTTAATTTAGAGCTTTACTACCAATTTTTCGCATCACCCGTGCAGGATAAGGACAATCCTCTAGACTTCCGTAAATCTAAAACGATTCTGTAACGTTAGAAAACGTAAAATTGATTTCCTTATTTTTCGAGCTTTCTTTTTAGAACTTTGACACCCATTTTCGAAGTGCCCCCCGGCCGCTTGCTGAAAAAACGTTGGCTTTCCAATTTAGGGCCGGGACCCGGGAGACGAGGTGAAAACCGACGCCTCGGTCGACTCGGTCGCGTCTAGAGATGTGAGTAGTGCGCTTTTGCCAAACCGCTGCCCGGCTACCACCACAACCACCACCACCTCCTCAGCCCCACCCCAGACACCGCGTCCGGTCTGCTACTCGTGTTTTTTTGCCGTCCCCGCTTCTGTGGCTGCTGCCCTTCTTCTCTCGCTAACACACTGTCGAAAATATTGCCCCCGTTTTTTTTGGAGCTTTCGCATTATCGGGGGGTGGATCTTTTCTACAAATTCGGATATTCCTAGGAGGTTATTTAATAGTTCTGAAGTGAATACAGCTAGATTTCAGGCGCAAAATTTTTTTTTTAAAAGCCTGGGAATGTTATAAATTTCGAAATTTTGATCTAAAAATCTATTTTTAAGTTTATACTACAATTTTTCAGGTTTTACGTTTAAAAACGCGAAAAACAGCGTACAGACTCCATTCATGTTGTAAAAATTTTATTCTACGTAAAAAAACTATTGGAATTTTTCACGCCTTGAAACTTCTTGGAAAATCCGTTTCTACAGAATGACCCCCGCCCCCCCTCCCCGATAATGCAAAAGAACCCCCGAATTTTTTACTAACAGGGATGGTGTGGTCGTTTTATTTATGTAGGAACTGGACGTTAAATTGTAAAATTCTGAGAATTCAAGCTAGAATAAATGCGATTTTCTTGGCGCCGAGTTAAAATTTTTGAAATTCTTGGCTTCTGATAAAGGCGCTTTCCCACAAACTCTTAGCCGCCCATGCATGCCAAGCCGCTTCGTGTGCTTGATTGTTCCCCCGAGTCAGCTTGCGTGTGCTGCTTGGAAGTGACGAAGCCCCCACCTGGCTTTGTGAATCACCCGACTGGGTTTCAGATCAACAACCGCAGCAGCTGGTACTCCCCGAAAAGTGATGTCCGAAAAGACGGGTCGTATATCTATGAGGATTTTGTGCAAGCGGATGGCATTGATGTCAAGGTTTGATTTTACAGGATTTTAATGGATTACATTATCTAGGTATATGCGGTAGGCCCGTATTATGCGCATGCAGAGGCGAGAAAAGCGCCGGGCCTTGACGGAAAAGTGGGTTTAAATTTTCTTTACGAGAAGTACGTAATCTTTATGCTTTAAAAAGTTATACACGATTTGAATAGCACTTAATTTTAAACTTTAAAAACTTATACACTATCTTTCTTAAAACTCAATTTTATTCTTTAAGAACTTATAAACTATCTACCGTTTAAAACCCAACAAATATATAAATAGTACATAATTTTATTTTTTAGAGACTATCTAGATTTTAAAGCAGATAAAACATGATGGGTACATATTTAATACTTTAAAAACTTGTAGGCTATTTAGCTTTTAAACCTGTATGATATGGAGAGTGCACAATTACTATACTCCAAACTTCAAAACTATCTAACTTCACAAAACCTACGAAAATCCAGGTGGAACGCGACGCTGACGGCAAAGAAGTACGCTATCCGGTCATCCTCAGCCACCGCGAGAAGATGATCGCGCGAAAAATCGTGCTGGCTTTTGGGGTGGCAGTCCACTTTTTTGTTTTGAACTCCCCCCAAATTCAGCAAACCGTCTGCGGCTTCGACTTGCTGCGCACCAACGGCAAATCGTACGTGTGCGACGTGAACGGGTTCAGCTTTGTGAAGACGAGCACGAAATATTATGAGGTAGTTCAGGGTTTATTTATTTAATTAACTTAATATTGTCCAGGATACCGCGAAAATCTTGGGCAACACCATTCTCCGGCGGTTGGCCCACATTTTGTCGAGTCCTGTGCAAATCCCTGTATCGTTGCCGCCGCTCTTAGATTTGGGTCTTGGAGGTAAGAAAATGGGTTCTGGACTGTTGGCGGAGGGCCCAAATTTTTCCCTGTGATTCTCTACGACCTTATAACAAAATACAAACAATTTTGATTGCATTTTACATAGTTTTTAGTTATAAAAACAGTATTAAAAATAATAATAAAAATTTTCGAACTTTTGACTTTTTGGTCAAAAATGTATGAAAAATTCCAAAAAATTCAACATTTTCGAATTTTCAGAATTTTAAAAATGTTTTAATAACTTCCCAGCAATCAGACACTACTAAAGACACATAAAAATACAAGATATATCATCAACAGGTAGGTGGAAAAACAAAAAAGGTCCCCCCGCTAACAGTCCAGAACCAGAAAACCTGGAAACAAAAATTTATATATTTTTCTAGACGATCCACCACTCGTGTCGACCCCTTCTGGAAAACTTATGGAACTGCGCTGCGTTCTGGCTGTCATCAGACATGGTGATAGAACTCCTAAACAGAAAATGAAGGTAGCTTTCAATTGTTTCCTATAGAAAAACTCAAATTTAGGTGATCGTCGACGACCCCCGATTCTTTGCCCTCTTCGAAAAGCACGAGGGCTATAAAAAGACGGAGATCAAAATGAAGCGCCCCAACCAGCTGATCGAGGTGCTCGAGCTGGTGCGCGAGATTCTGCAGGAGCAACAGGTAAACCGGAAATTGTAGAAGCGCTAACATTTCCTGTTTTAGTCCCGGCGCAATGACTTGCTGCACCAGTTGGAGGAGTGCGAGGAACGGGGAGAATCATCGCAGAATGTAAGTGGAATTTTACTAATCAGCGAACCAAAAAAAAACTGCAAACCGCCTAGATTTCAGGTGGAGCAAGAGCTGGATCGCGTGGAGGACACTGTGAAGAAATGGGACCAAATGCGCTCGGTGCTCGAAATGTATGCATTTGCCGACTTGAGGATGGGCCTGGCCCGCGTAACAAAAACAATGGCACGGGGCTCGAGCTCGGAGGAGGAGCCGAGGAAAGCTGGAAAAACCTTTGGTCACGATGAGTCGACCTCATCTTTGGATGGGTTGGATTGGGTGGAGGTTGAGGATCCGGCTTCCTCCCTGCTTTGCCCGGATGCGCCGATGGCCAGTCGGAAATCGAGTGGAGTGCTGCTCAGACCCGTGGAATGATGGAAGTTGTATTTAATTTTTGTAAAGTCGTGTTTTATATAATTTTGAATGAGCCGAGCATGAGCATCATCATTAGAAGAGCATGACGAGTTAATTTTGATATTACCCCCCAACTAACTGGATACAAAAACCTCCTCCTCCTCCGATCGATCACCACCAGCTCAACGTTACTACACTACGGGAACAGCCTCCAAGAAACATTTGCTATGTCGACTAACAAATAAAGCGTTTTTCGTTTCGTGAAACAACCATAACCCGAAGCACGAGCTAACTACCAAAACGTATCGCATGAGTATGGGCCTGAGCATGCAAAGCACACGATCCGATCGAGCTTCTTCCTCTGACCTCGTTGCACCCTGTTTTGGCGTTCGGCGTAGTTTGTGGCGGCTAGTCTTATCTTATTAGGGTCGGCTGGTTGTAAACCTGGAAATGTTGACAAGCTGCCGGTTGTCGTCGCCAAGAAATATGGCAAGAGGAAGCTGTCTATCTCCTCGGGCCCTACCACGTTCGTGTCGTAAAGATAATTTGGTTATCGCCGCGGTTGTAAATGGCAAAAAGGGGAGAGAAAAGCCAAAAAGAGAGGGAACGGTCTGTGATAAATTGTCCTGTTTTGTGTATGGTTTAGGAAAGTGGGCGGGGATTAATAAGAACTGATATCTAATGTTTGGTCGCAATGGACTCGCTTTTCCTTGCGAATCCAAGGGTTTTCGAAGGGAAGAGCTAATGAATCTAGCTCTTCTCAGTTAGGAGAAAAACTTTAAAGGAGATACGAAGATCTAAAAACATCTAAAAAATCATTTTTTCAGGTACGGCCACTTCTCCGGCATCAACCGCAAAGTTCAACTCAAATACCTGAAGGCCCGCGATGTCAAGAGTGGCGAAAGCAGCGAAGAAACGAAACATCAAGCTCCCGCCCTGCTTCTAATCCTCAAATGGGGCGGCGAATTGACGACAGCAGGTTTGTATTAGCGTTTTCTCAACTAGATTCAAGTTTTCTGACAGGACTTACTGCAAAAGCGACCCCAAATTACCCAATAACTGACCGATATTGCCCTTTTTCAGAATTTTCAGTGTTTTTCAGTATCTTCAGCATTTTCAGCATTGCTGAAAATCCGGCCCGTGCCCTCGGGGCACGATTTTCAGCAATACTGAAAATACTGAATCCTCGCGTAGCCTTAGGCGTCGAAAAAACTGAAAATACTGAAATAACGCGTTTATTATCCAGATTTTCCCATCAATCATCCATGCCACGGTGGCCGAGTGGTTAAGGCGTTCGATTTATGATCGAATCCGGTTAAAACCGGGCGCGGGTTCGATCCCCGCCCGTGGCAGAGTTTTTGCTTCTGCGCAATTTTTTTGCCTGGACACCAGAACGCTATAAGATTTTGCGGGTGATTTCATGGTCAGAAACTGCGCTTTCCGGTTCTATTTGGAGGTTCTAAAAATGAAAAAGTTGACGGACGCTCTAAATTTAGATTTATCCATTATACTAATGTATAATTTGAATTATTTTCAGGAAATCTTCAAGCCGAAGCCCTCGGCAAGCTGTTTCGAACGCTTTACCCGGGAATCCGAAGGACAGACGGGAAAAGCAGTCCGGAAGATACGCAAGGATTGGGCTTTTTGCGTCTCCATTCGACTTACCGGTTTGCTACTATTTTCTTACGTTGTATGATCCTTCTAGGCATGATCTCAAAATATACGCAAGCGATGAGGGGCGGGTCCAGATGACGGCCGCTGCTTTTGCTAAGGTATCTAAAAGTTCTAGACAGATGAATGACACCATTTTTAGGGACTCCTGGCTCTCGAGGGTGAGCTGACGCCGATTCTGATGCAAATGGTGAAGAGTGCAAACACAGATGGGCTTCTGGATGACGATTTTAATGCGCGCGATGTGCAAAACGAGCTGAAACACTATTTACATCAGGCGTTACAGGTTTTTCGGTGCAAACGTCCTTAATTAGTATCTTAGGTCGATCGAGATTGGTCCTACGAAGATTTTGAAGCGCTCAACCCTAGTGGACTCAAGTCGATACAGGTATCCTACTTTTCTAGCACCTTTTAAAGCTGTTTTAGGCTGCTATGGAATTCATCAAGAACCCGAAGAAAATGTGCCACGAGATTGCCGACTACGTGAAGCGCATGTGCGATGTCGTCCAATTACACAAGCAAACGAAGCCTCGTAAGCCACTTAGAATCGATTTTGGACCTTCATACGCTTAGAACGAACGTTGTACCTCAATGAATCTTGGGATCTGTCGGAACGGCGTTGGCGTAAGGAGCTCCGCGAATTCCAGCGCCCGAATAAGAACGGCGGCTTTGAGTACGACATCAGCAAGATCCCGGACATCTATGATAATATAAAGGTAAGAAAAAGCCAGCTAAAAGAGGTATTTTTTCGGGGAAAAAAATGCCCCTCAAACCGTTTTATGCAAACCCTTTTGTTCAGTACGACATGGAGCACAACCCGGAGCTGTGCGACAACATTGAGGGCGAGTTCGAGCGCTTTTACCTGTGCGTGAAGGCGATGGCCGACATTGTTGTGCCCCAGGTTTTGTTTTGGTTTTTAAGGCTTACGTAGGCTTTAGGAATACGGCATCAAGGTGGAGAACAAGATCCACGTGGCGCAGCGGGTTTGCACGCCGTTGGTGAAGAAGATACGCAACGATTTGCATAGATGTATCGCTGACCAGGAGGAGGATGAGAGTCAGACGAGACTGGATCCGCGGTGAGAATTTTTTGGTGCTGGGTTGTTAGCGGGGGGCTGAATTTTTTCAAGCTTTACCTGGTCGTTACTTCCAATAGCTTTATGAAGAAACACAAAGTATTCTAACATTAGCTTTTTACGTGGAGAAACGCCACTAAAAAGATTACATTTTCGAAATTTGTTTTACTTTTTGAGAATTTTTTTGAATTCGAATTTTCTTTTTCCTTTTTCCAATTTTTCCAGAACGTTTTATTAAGCGCTAATTAAGACGTTAAATGATTTATGTTCTTTATTCTGGAGGTTACGCTGAATACAGAAAGTCCCCCCCCCGCTAATAAACCAGAACAGATTTTCAAAAAAAATATTTTTCTAGAGCATCACAAGGCATCGCTACACCCCTACGACACGTCCGGACACGCCTCTACTTCACCAGCGAATCCCACATCCATACACTGATGAACCTGATCCGATATGGAGGGTTGTGCTCGGTAAAAAAAGGCGCCTCAAAAATTCTGTAATTTCTGGTTTAGGTAGACGACAAAAAGTGGCAACGCGCCATGAGTTTCCTATCGACCGTCACCGAGTTCAACTACATGACCCAGGTGGATGAGAAGAAGATGTATTGCTATTTTCATTTCAGGTCGTTCTAATGGTGTATGAGGACAACTCGCAGACGGGCGGCGATCGCTTCCACATCGAGCTGCTCTTCTCGCCCGGGCTCTACCCCTGCTTTTTGACCGAAAAGGAACGCATCTACGAGACGCGCTTCAAGTATGATTCTTGCAAGGTCTAAATCGAAGCTTTTTCAGCTCAAAATCGAGCAGCATGAAGAAGAGCGAGTCGAAGGACGAGCCGTCGCTCAACTTGACGGGGACGGCGCGTTCGGATTCGAGGGTTCGGTTTTTCTGCGTTGTAATTAGTATCTTTATAAAGTTTTAGACAGTGTGTAGTTTGGAGATTAAGGGTTTATTTTAATACTTCAACAGTTTTCGCTCTTTTTCAGAGTGAAAGATCCTCACCAATCATGCCCGCGACCACCCTCACCAATCTGAACGTGCCGACGACGTCGGAGGACACGGTTTCCGTCGCCTCAACGAGTAATGCTACAGCTCAAGGTATCCCTTTTTGCCTTGACAAACGTTTGAACGTCCAGGTCTCGTCGTGCAAGCCCTCGCCAAGCCGCCGGGCCCCGATTCCGAGGATGACCTGAATGATGGGGAGGCCGTGAATCTGGTCGCCCTCGACGAGGTCACCAACAAGCAATATGGTTTGTGATTTTGGGCGTATTATTATTAGATCCGATGCCTCAGCTACACTCACCCGGTGTGCATGCTCTCTTTCAAACTGTTGCTAGCTCGGCGCCGTTTTGCTAACCCGGATCTCGGTTTTAGTGGCCAGCGAGAAGGAGGCGATCAGGAAGGGCACCAAGGGCAGCGGTTCCGAGAAGGCCAGTGAAGATGGGGATGTGCCGAAGGATAAGGTGAGCTTTTTCTTCCCGTCACGGGATCGTAAAAAATTTTTTTGGAATGAACTATCTAAAAATCCTAGCTCATATTTTTACAAGCTTAACAAGGAAATCCCAAGCATTTTTTCGGTATTCACGTTTAACGGGACGCAAAATTTTCCCTTTTTTTTTTTGGAGAAATTTTTTTTTTTTTTTTCCTTACTTTAAATGTTTTCAGTAAAGGGCATTGAAAATTTGTTTACAAATTTTCCAATTCTAATTTTTTTTGAGGTTTGCTTGGAGTCAAAAACTACTAAACCCACGATAGAAATACGCTGTTTTTTTATTAACAATTAGGTATAGCTGGAAAAACAAAACTTCGTCCCCCCGGTAACAGTCCAGTACCGAAAAAGCTTTTTCTTTTCAGGAAGACTGGAACAAAACGTGGCAATCCCGTGGTGAGCGCAGCGGTAGCCAGCTGAGCATCGGCGATGACCCCGACAATCAGGTACCCAGCTCCGTGGTTTTCGCCCATTTTCCGAGACTTTCCAGTGTACGATCGGCCCCGGAAAGGGCAAATGGGCGAAGGACCTTCTCGACGAAGCCAAGAAGGCCATCCAGGCCATCAAGGAGGAGGAGGAGCCCCCAAAGTCCGGTACGCTAGCGATTTTGAGGTTTTCTTGTCTTTCAAAAAACCTAGCTCGCATTTTTCATAATAAAGCATCATTTGCAACCCCCTTTTTTAGTGAAAAAGAGGGAGAGTAATAGCGAGGAACGAGCGCTAGAGACAGGTTCGTTGGCCCCCCGATTCCCCCCAGCGACCCCCAGCAGCATCCTTCCCAATTTGATTTTTCTTGCCTTGTCGTTTTGCTAAGGGCCCATTTTTTGGATGCGAGAAGGCTAAATTGTGCGCGAAAAAGCTTCGAATTATACGCAGCTTTCGATTTAGCTTTCTACACTCCTTTGACAGCCTCACCCATACTAACCACGCTCCTCTCTCTGATTCGTGCTTTTCGTTTTTGGCCCTCGACGTTGTCTGGTGTTGGTTTATGATTTTGTAGGGGTTACGCCGAGACGAGAAATGAGGTTTCTGAAGTTTGACACGAAGAGATGCACCTTTAAATGGCTTATTTTCAAAATTTCGAAATTCAGAAGGTCGAATTTTCGTAACGCCGAAATTCAGCTTGTCGAAATTCGCTAATGCCGAAATTTTGACTTTTTTTATTTGGAGAAGCTACGCGGAGATTTCTTTCATGGAAAAATTAGGTTCCTTGAGATTTCGATATTATAAAGTTCTACATTATTGAATTTCGGCATTATTACTTTTCGAAAATATTAAATTCAACATTGTTTAGATTTCGACATTATGCATTTCCAAACTAAATTGCGATTTCGAAATTAATAGCTTTAAAACTTTTTAAAGTTCGACATGAAACGTCGATTCCGAATTACCTTTTTGATTTTTCGACATGAAATTTCTGCATTGCTAAATTTCGACAGTCTGTCAACAAAAAAGCCTAAAATACCATTTTAGGCTTGTCATTTCGCACTTCCGGTCTAACCCCCGGCGCCCCCTACGCGCTTGCCAATTGCACATCCACACATTTATTTCCGTTTTCGTTTGTTAATATCGGTGGTGTAGTTGAGTATCTCGGTGATGGTGGTGGTCAACTAAAAAAAATTGGTGAAAAATTTTATTTTCGATTTTAGCGCGCCGCTCCCGGTTCCCCTACCGCTTTAAGCATCACACCGTCAACCTGCTCAGCGGTTTGTTTTTAGTCTAGTGCTTTTCGGTTTTTTGGGTGAACCGTTTTTGGGTTTTGCTTCTACTAAAATGAGGCATTGGACTTCGAAAATAGGGTACTGGACTGTTAGCGGGGGGAAGGGGTTCCGCTAGGCACGTCATCTAGTTTATTTCCCCTTAGAAATATTTTTAATTTGGACAGAAAATATGTTGTTTTAAAAATATTTTGACGTAAATTCAAATTTTTAAGAATTTTATTTGAACTCTATATTTTCAACAATTAATTATTAAATTTTAGATTTTTAAGACTTGTATTTAAAATTGATTTACTATGAATCTCTATACTTAAAAATAGCGTAAAGAGCCACAGAAATTGTATCTATTGCATTATAACAATTCTATGGGGTGGCAATCTAGATTACCCCCGCCCCCGCTAATAGTCCAGTACCAGAAAAGCTAAATAAAAAACGGATGAATTAATTCTGGTTTCAGACGCGGCCGCCGTCGAGAATCGCCTTATCTCCACCGACGTGTTGATGGGCCGCCTCGACGACAAGGACAAAAAGAAGCCGCTTGGGAGTATGGCGTTAGACACCGCCACTGATTTCCTCAGTCTTAGGCTTCACCAACACGGCTGTCCTCTCGACGGCCGTCATTGCCCGCTCATCCAGTGCTCCTCGTCTACAGACGTACCGGGCCGAGGAGGAGATCCCCGTGGCTGGTATGTGGCTCTTTTTCGAAAAAAAAACCAACTATTTTATGCTTGTTTATATGCTTGCGTTTTTTAAATTAATAGCGTATGAGTTTGTACATTGTTTTTGATTTACTTGAGGATTATGACTTTATAAATTTTAATTAAAACTTAATTTTAGATAGAAAAATTGATTTTTTGGACCGAAAATGACCAAAATTTGGACCTTTTCACAGATTTTTCGAATATTTTTCAAAGCGTTTCTGCTTCGAATATAGTCTTAACTGATTAGGAACTATATAAAGAAAATATATTTGTTTACTGGGCCCACCTGGAAATATAGGGGAAAAAAATCGGTCCCACCGCTAAAAGACAAGAACCCGTTTGATTTTGTAAATTTTATAGTCTAAGTCTAAGTTGTTCGACACGTGTCAAAAATCCTGCTGAAAATTGCGGGTAAAAATCGATAAAATGGAACACGTATATAAAATTTTTTCATTTTTGCGTGTTTTTCGATTGGAAGATTAACCAAAAGTCGCACGGCTTGCACGCGACCAATTGTTTAAATTAATTGGTTCTTTAGGATTTCCGGGGAAAGTATTTCCGGGGAAACTAAATTTTTTCGGCCCTTTAATGCGGCGCCTCCAAAAATAAATTACTAAATAGCGCATGCGTTTCTAAATGGCCTTCTTAACTATTCCTGACCCCATAAAAACTACCCACATTTTAATTAAAAAATTTAATTTTTAAGGATCGTAAAAATCGCCATAGAACCTTTAGGAATTTTAGCGGGGGGAAAGTACCCAAAATGACCAATTTTCGACTTTTTCGGAAACATTTTTCTAACTTTTTCCGTGTGTGGGGGTGCTGCCGTGTTTTTTTTCCGCGGAAAGTCCCGGTCCTTTTACCTACTTTTTTTAAATAAAATTAAAATTTACTAAAAACAATGCTGAAAACACTTTATATTTGATTACTAGGTCAACCGGGAAAAATAGGAAAAATTTTATTTGGTTTCCCCCGTGAAATTACAATTCCCCCGGAAATCCTAAAGGACCAATTAATTTTTTACCCTACTAAACAACTTTAGCTATCAAAGAATATAGCGTATGTGGTAATTGAGGGTATTTTTTTGCAGAAATCAAGCGCTTCTGGCCGCCACTACGCTCGCTGGAGACGCTGCACGACAGCATCTCGTTCGACCAGTTCGACCAGTTCCTCGGCTCGCTGCTCAGCAAGACGACCCCGCTGCCGTCACCGCCCAAGACGCCGCTGCCACAGGAGCCCGTCGGCGACGCGTCCACCCCGACTGCACCGTTTCCAGATACGGATTCTAGCCGGACATGAGTTCTTCTACGTCGGTTACATTCAAATTTTGCGTCTTTTTTTTGCTTCATTTGCCACTTTTTCTGGTCCAAGACCATTGAATTTTCTCCAAAAAGCAACTTTGATATCACAAAATTACTGACATCCTTTTCTAGATTCACTTTTTTACGCTCAGGCTTTGCTAGGTTGTGCGCTCTTTCCTGTTTTCATCTCTATGTGGTTCGTGATACTCTGGTACTACCCCCGCGCCCTTTTCAGCCTGTGATATTCCCAAGTATTCTTCTTCTTGTACGTCTTCTTCTTTTTCATTCTCCACGTAAAAGGAATACATCGATTGATAAAGGGGGGGGGGGAGGGAGGGGCGAGCCAAAAAAAATAAATTTATATACAGAACGTAATGTAGCGAAAATCACAGATCACCGACACGCGTCATGGAAGCGGGATATTTGACCTTGGAAATTGAAGAATTTAGGATGCAAAATATACAATTTTGTAGGGGATATTCGGCTATAAACTACAAGTTTCAAGTCTACACAAAATTGGATCGACAGATACATTAATAGACAAAGTACAATAGTAATTTCAAGTTAAAAAGTGTTACCTTTCACTTTTTCTTTCGAATTTTTGAGGTTTTTCGACTACAAAGTACAACTTAAAGACTGCATTAGATAAATAATTTAGTTTGGCTGTTAGTTAGTTAGTTGCATTCATAGAAAAGTTACAAAAATATGGACAATACCGGCGATCACTATAATTTTTTAAAACAAAGAGAAAGGATATTTACATTAATGTATTAGGGAAGATATATTCGACATTTTAGGCTTTAGGAGCGAAAAAAACACGAAAAACAAGCTCTTCAAGACGTTCAGCAACGTTCTCGGCTGGTTCGGCCGTAGAATACGTAATCCTTATTCTAAGTCATAGCTCCAGCTCAAACAAGCCGCAACCACGGTGTGCGCCGCTTTGACGCCGACTTGATCGACTTGTCGGTCCAGGTGGCCGGCTTGGCCGTGGCGAGGAGGCAGAAGATGCCGTTCGTAACGAGCAGGATGACGGCGTGCAGGATGAAGATTGTTCTCCACTCCTCCACGGAGCCCTTGTGCAGAAGGAGGCCCACCTGAAGCGGGAATGGATTTCGGGTTTGGGCTTGGTTTTCCAAGAATCTTTGCTAGCTTGCCCTAGCCAGCGCATTTTGAGTTCTTTATTTTTCCTATATAATTTTGGTCGCAAAATCGATATTTTATAGATCATTTGGAAAAGGTTCTAAGTGAGAAAGACCACAAAATAAAATTTGACTATTTAAGTGGAAAAATTAGCGTAAAAAATTGATAAACGAATTTTTGGTCCAAAAATCGAGATTTTTAAGAATTTTTTGTGAAATTTTTGCAGAAACTCTTTTCTTTCTAGTTGAAAAACTTGACCTAGGATCGGCCTTAGTCCCCCTATAATGCAAAAGCTCCGCTCTAACAGTAAGATAAGCTTAGGAAAAGTCCCCGTTAAAATACCCACCAACACGGGGCAGATGAGCATCGCCAGACACCAGAGGAACTGAATGTTGGCCAGCACAAAGTGCGAATATTGTCGGGAGACCAGGGCGGCACACTAAAGCTTTCGTGTTTTAGGCTTGATTTTTCGCCTGACCTTGTTGAAACCGCCGCCGTTGAAGCCGAACATCGACGTGGTGAGGGTGATCAGCACCATGCCCAGCGTTGGATGCCCTAAATTAAAATTTTTTGGATGAATTTTCGGGGTTTTTTTGCGGGTTATAATCCCGTAATACCAACCTTTGGGGACGAACGCCAAGACGATCATAAAAGCGGCGCTCGCGCCGAGGGCGATCGAGTTGTAGATGCGCAACTTGGTCGTCTCGGAGATGCCGTGGATTCGGTCGGAGCTGTGGCCGGCGAGGACCTGAAGGGCTCGGTTTTAGCGGGTTGGGAAGGAGGATTTTAAAAGTCTTGATTTTCTGACCTCGAGTTCGGTGCTTGCGCAATATCGGGGGGGGGGGTTCCTATCTGTCCGGAAATGTCTAGTAAAAGCTCCATAGTAGCTCTTTTAAAAGTATTTTTGGTATAATTTAAATATATTAAACGCGAAAAAACAATAAAACATACCTCGAAAAAATTTTTAGCCTAGGATTTGGTCGAAAAAGGTTAAATTTTTGTATTTTTTATGAAAATTTGTGAAGTTTTTACGTTTAGAAATAGTAGAGAAGAGCTTATATAAATGAGAAAAACTTTATATTAGAAAAATTGGTTGAAAAAGTGTGTCCCCCCCCCGATAACGCAAAAGAACCCCTCTCCTTAATGCCGAAACCCTAGAAATCGCTCACCTTGACGATAAACTGAAAGAGTACAGGCAACGCTGCCGACCATCCGGTCTTTTCCATCGAAAAATCGAGCACCGTCTTGATGTAGAGGGGCGAGAAGGTGTGGATCAGCTGAACGTTTTTCCGGTACAAAAAAAAACATAAAAAAGACAGAAATTTGCGAATTTTCAAAAAGGTTTAAATTTATTCAAAAAATATTTTTTTTTGTAGCTTTCTAGCAATCAAAAACTACAAAAAACAATAAAAATACACTATTTGTTATGAACAGATGTAATATACGGAAAACAAAATTTAGCTTTCCACCCTGTTAAACCCCCCCCCCGCTAACAATCCAGTACCACGTTTTCTTCCTCTTTGAATCCCACCCACCTGAATAGCGATCAAATCCCCGAGCGCCCCGGCCCAGACGCCCCAAACGGAGGGTGTGGATAGTATCTGGAAGTAGGGGATCTTCTGAACTTCTTCATCTTCTTTCGTCGCATTCCGGTAGCTCTCCTCGTTTTTGCCGGACCGGATCTCGGCGAGTTCACGGCGCGACACGAGTGAGTGGTTCTCTGGGAGGCCGAGCATTAATTTAATCAAGAAATTTTTACCTGGATCATCACGATACACCAAAAACCATGCGGTGAAGATGGCCAACGCCAGTCCGCCGTGCAAGTAGAAGACGGAGCTCCAGCCCAGTGGGGAGGCACAGAGCTGAAATTGGAGGCTTATTAGGTTCTATAGCGTTCTCGGGGGGGTCTCACAAGCGCAGAAATGTTTTTAACGTAATGGCAATATTTTAATCCTGTTTTCAGTCAGTTTGAAATTTTTTAACTATTTGAATTTTGGTCCAAAATTGCATTTTTGTATTTTTCGGATAAAAATTTGTAAACTTTTTTTGTATTTACAATAATTGATAATAGAATATAAATTTTGGTCGAAAATCGGTCATTTTTGGGCGAAAAATCGATGTTTTTGTGTTTTTGTAGAATTTTGTAGATATAGGAATGGTAAAAAATGTAGAAAAAGGTCCCCAATTTCCATTAGTAAAATTGGATCCTAATAAAAAAGTTGGCTCTGCCTCCTCCCCCCCAATAATGCAAAAGCTCCCGAGTTCAACCTATTACTCCAGATAAAACGCCTACCTGACCGGACAACGGGTTGCTGAACACGGCCGACAACTGCCCGAAGGCTGTCAGGGCACTCATGAAAAGGCCGGCCTGGCCGAGGGGGGACCAGGCGGATGTCACGGCACCTACCACCGGCATGCAGGCAGCAAAGGAGATGCCCTAAAGAGGGGACAAAAATGCATTTCTGTGTGGTCATCTACCTGAACGAATCGGAGGGCGACGAACACGAGGAGATGAGAACGGGCGGCAAACGGCGTAAAAAGCGTGGCCAGGGCGGAGAGGAGACCGGCCGCGAAGAAGATCTGAGACGCAAAATTTTATGTCTGAGCTGCTCGATATCCTCGGTCGGCGTGAATCGTCGGTACTGGGCTGTTAGCGGGGGCGGGGGGGGGTAACTTTGATCCATAGCGCTAACGTAGATCTCCAATAATGAAACTCACATCATTTATATCACTCTTCCCCGTTTTTTAAGAATAGAAAGTTAATAAAAAGTTCTAAAAATGCCATTTTTTGTAGAAAAGTCCCTTTTAAACTTCTATAAGATTCACCGACTGCTAAAAACAGTAAAAAAACGCTGTAAAACTCCAAAAAATGGGGATAGGTCTGGGCTCAATAGCTTTTCCACCCCCGCTAAAAATCTAGTACCGTCTAGCCTTGCTGACACTATCCCCTTAAACCCCACCTTTCGTGTCCCAAATCTGGAGATGAGCATGGACGTCGGGACGACGGCACACAGAGCCCCTAAAGCCACAGCAGAGAACAGCCACGTTCGATCGTGCTTTGTGTAGCCCTCGTAGGTCTGAAAGGTTCTCCCATTAATGCGCCTAGACAAGCGCCCTGAATACGTCTAGAAAGTCATTAAAAATGATAACCGATAAAAATAAGAAGTAATTCGAACTGACCCCATTTCTATTGGTCGGCTCGTCAGTGGCTGGCATGCAGAGCACAGTAAAGTTGAACGCGACGATATTGGCCATAACGGACGACAGGGCCAACACGGTCAGGCCGAGCACCACATATCGCCAGCTCATCCCGTCCATTCGAGTGGATTTCCGTTGATGCGGCACGAAATCCGCGGCCGGTTCCGGAAGTTTGTGCTGAAAAATGGATTTTTGAAGGGGCCGCGTTGGTGCTTTGGCATTAGCGGGGGAGGCAATTTTTCCTCTAAGCCCAGATGGGCCTAGTAATGCCACAGCTACTAATTTAATAGTATTTTTAGTAAGATGTGGCTCTTTTTTAAGTGTATAAACCCTCTGAAAACTTAAAAAATTTAACATTTTAATTTGACCGAAAAATTATATAACAAACTTCAGAAAATTTAAAAAAAAAACTTTTTATCAACTTCGAACTTCAATTTTCACCCCTTCCCCCCTGATAATAGAGAAGCTCCATAGCTTTCTAGATCACCTGCATATCGGCCGCTTTGTTCCCATGCCCAGTCGGGTCACTGGATAGACTGGAGGATCGGGGCGGCTTCTCGGGTAGTGGGCCGGCATCTGAAGAATTGAGTTGAAATGTCGAAGCCTCCAAAGTCGACTTACCGGCCGTGAGATCGTGAATGGATTCGGGGGCGCTGGAGGAGGAGCTGGGCCTCGGCGGCTCGTCGAGCTCGACGTCTTCGAGCCGTTCCTCGGGTTGGGAAGTGCCTTCACGGGCTTCAGTTTGGGGCATTCTCAAAAAGCATATCTATTCACCGAAGCCTCATCATCGGATAAGGCGAGAAAAGGACAGAAGAAGGGTGTCCAGAGGAGCGTAGCGTAGTTCTAGGCATTTAGGCTCTAGCTAAGTTCCTAGCACGCCAATACGCAAAGATTCCCCTCTACGGAATCGCGTCCAGAGTAGTGTAGCGTAGCGTAGTTCAAGATATGTACGGCTCGAGCGTAGCCGTAAGGAAAGATTCTGCTAAAAAACCCAATGACGTCGCCAGGAACCCCGCGGAACAACATCCATTAATTGGTGTAGACACTACCAGTGGGAAAGGGCAAGGTTTTCAGCCTAACAATTTACCCCAATACTCCCCAGCCGACAAAAGGGCAATGCGTAAATGTTTTCGGATGGAATTCATAGGGTGAGGCGGAGGGGTGGTGGTATCGACGGATGGATTACATTGGGATGGTTGAGATCGAGGGGGAGGGGGAGGGAATGGCATGTGAACCGACACGTCAAGAGGTCATAGCCGGATTTCGACGAACGACTCGCCGCCCATGGATTGATTCATTTTTTGATGAGTGATAAGATTCGGGGGGAGCCGGAACTGGTAGGTAGTTCGGTCTATTTGGATCACTGTTTAGATGATCAGGCTCAAAATGTGAGCTAGAACTCCGAGGCTCAGAGAGAGTCGAACATCATAATGCCGAAATTCATAGTGTCGAAAATTTATAATGCCCAAAAGTCAATGCGAAAATTTCATAAAGTCGTCAGATTGTCGAAACTTTTGCATGGGATTCGGGGTTTTCCGGGAAAATCGGCTTCTGAAAATTTCGGCAGTATGAAAATTCGAATTACGATTTTCATTCTGAAAGAAACCCGGTTCTGATTCGTTATCGGTGGGGGGGGGGGTGCGTGAGAATCTACCTATCCTACGCCTATTTAGCATTTTTTTGGTGTTTTCTAGCATTTTTTAGTATTTTTTTATTACTAAAAAATGCTGGAAATTTAAAACTTACCAATGTTTCGTATTGACCAAAAGCCAAGAAATTTTGCCAAGTTTTATGAAAATTTTACATCTAAAAAATTTTTTATGAGCTTTTATATCTTGAAAAAGGTGTAAATGCCATAAAAAACCTAAATCGATAACCCCCCCCTCCCCCGCTAAACAACAAGCACCAAAAAACCATAGCCCTACCAAATTTTACCAAACAGCTGAGTTCAAAAATTGACCAGTTCTAAACGGTAGACAGTCATATATTGGAGAACCAAAAAAAACTATCGGTAACAGTCATGCCGCGCCCAAACGCCAAAACAACAAAATGTGAGGGCTAGGGTGTGGATCATCGCGCGAAACTGCCCTCCCCACCACCCACCCTCCACGCTCAAAATGACGAATCTCTAGGGGGGCGAAAACTCGCGGATATGCTCTGCCTGCTGTCTGTAATAGCCTTATACATACATACATACACACACGCCCCGGCCAGTATTTATCGGCCACAATCGGACCCGGCTCGATCGGGATCTGCGCGCATGAATGCCCTAGTCCGCCCCGACTCTTTAGGACGACGATTTCGACGGACGGACGGACAGACACGGAATCGACTCACCAGACAAACCATGTGAGACTGACATTTTGGTCCCGGATTGAGCTATACCGGACCCTGGTCATTTAGACAAAAAACGCACTGAACTAGCGTAATCTCAGTATTATTTATCGTAGGATCTAATTTTTCAAATATAAAAAGTGGAGATGTTTCTAAACGGTTTTTTACTGTTCCTAAAAAAGTAAAAAGTATTTTTCGACCAAAAATGGCAGATTTTTGATTAAAATCGGCTTTTCACAGGTTTTTAAAGTTTTTAGATCATATTCCAAGTCGAAACACAATTAGCGTGTACTAAGACACTATTAAAACACTTCCTATTACGTTACAAGACATTTCTAAACTTTTTCAAAAAAAGTTCGGGCCCCCGGTAATGCGAAAGAACCTAACGTCAATCTCTTCCCGGAATTTTGGCCGCGCCCTGCCATCTAGAATCAAAAATCACTAAAAATCATAAACACAGCTCAAATAATGTACTACCAATTCCTTCAAAACTGCAATTTATCTATATTGGAAAGCTGGAAAGTAGAACTGCCTTTTCGGACAGTGGAGCGGACTCACCTTGGAGTAACACACGTAATCAGTAAAGCTGCCCCCAAAAATAGGCCTGGGACTCCGCCTTGCAACCGGTTGCGATTAGATAAGCAGCACTGTAGTATTAGTGACGTTAGGCGGACACCGGCTACTTCGATGGCTATCTGAGTACCATGTTAGGCTAACCAAGAATCTAAATAGGGCAACACGTGGGCGAAAATGCTAGACTTCTTGCCTGAGCCCCCTCCTCTTTTCAGCAGCCGCAAACAAAGGAAACACAATGCTGTTTGAACTGGCCGATAACGAAAACATGGCAGGTTTGGATTGTCGTGGAAAAAAAGTAGATCAAATGCCTTTGCAGGCCTCGTTTTTACTAAAATAACTCATCGCTGATGAAATCAGCCCATGATGATAAACCGAATGGCTGTTTGTCGCATGTTTCTTATATAGGGAACGACGAAAAGCCAATGTTATTCACGAACGGCGCACCCCCTGAGAAAAGAGGATTTCGATGATGTTGACGTTATGCGCTGCGATCATTAAATTGCTTGCTGCGGGGTTCGGCAAAAGGGCAAGCAAATATGGGGTGCACGGTCGCGCTTCGCTCTCAATAAGCACCCGCAGGGGATCCCCCGGCATATTGGAGCTTTGGATCTTGATCGCTCAACACTCGGCTCGGCTCGTGCGGTGAAATTGGTGCATCGATGTCTTTGGAAGCTCCACCACAACTTTGAAATCATCCGCCAAACAACCCGGAGCTAGGAGCTGTCGATTCCACCAACGCCTTCTGTTTTACCATGTGATCCCCTCCCGGAAAAATCCATGCAAAGTCAAAGATTACAACAAAAGTTTATTATCCTTAGACGCGTTTAGTTATCATCGAATCTGGCCACAAGGCATCAAGTATTTTAAAGCGAATAAGGTTAAGCAATGCATAAATGCATGTGCATTTTAAAGAATCAAACGAAAATCAAAATTATTACAAAAAAATGAAGGCAACAACAAGGTAAGGCCAACTTGTCCATTTAGGTGCGCTCTCCACGGATGCGACGCGCGAGCTGGATATCCTTGGGCATGATGGTGACCCTCTTGGCGTGGATGGCGCAGAGATTCGTATCCTAGAATAGTAAAGGATTAGAAGCAAAAATGAAAGTTACCTCGAACAAGCCGACTAGGTAGGCCTCGGAAGCTTCCTGCAGGGCACCAATCGCAGCAGATTGAAAACGAAGATCCGACTTGAAGTCCTGGGCGATCTCACGCACCTGTAAAAGCACGGATTACCTAATAAAAACAGAAATAAACCCACCAGGCGTTGGAAGGGCAACTTGCGGATCAGCAGCTCCGTCGATTTTTGGAAGCGGCGAATCTCTCGGAGGGCCACGGTGCCGGGACGGTAACGATGGGGCTTCTTGACGCCTCCTTTCGCATCATGGGATTTACGAGCACTCTAGAAAAAAATACAAAAATATAAAAACAGATAGAACCTTAACGGCCAGATTCTTCCGCGGCGCCTTGCCGCCGCCCGTCGAGATGCGGGCCGTTTGCTTGGTGCGAGCCATTTTGGACGAGCTTGCGGTTCTGAAAATGCAATGTAGTGACAGGTACTTCGCAAAAGTCAAGCAACTAGAAAATTTTTGAAATCGCAAAATTCGAAAATCTGGTCTGTAAGACTCTATTCTGGGGTTTTATAGTGTTGCGTGTAGCGAACGTACTATCAGATACGGTAGCCGGGTCGCTAAATTTGGAGCAACGGCGTCAATTGTATTCGACCGGAATTTTCCATTTTGGACTTCGCAAAGCTTCGAAGCTGGCTTCGTTTTACGCTTTGCGCACAAAAAAAAAAACCGCACTTTTCTTAAGAAAAGTGCGTTTTTTTTTGAAAAATTGATTGCAAACGCACTTTTCTTAAGAAAAGTTGATTGCCCCTTTGGAATTGTCCGATTCATGGCTTTCCCAGCGAAGCTTCGTTCGTTCTCCAGATTTTCTAGCTTCATCTGTAGATGCTCAACCTGTATCCCGATCTTTTTCACGATTTACTCTTTAGTTTCCGTTTAAATATAGTTTTCGTTCCTCTTCTACCATTTTAGCATTCCGGCTGCTCCTCTTGCCGAGTAGAAGCCACGCGCTCTCTGCGGTCGCTCTGAAAACATATCTCCCTGAGAATCTGTGTGGTGTGATTTAGGTTGGCCCTAACGAAGCATAAAACACCGCTTTTCACTGGGAAAACGGCCACAATTTAGATATTTTGTCATCAGCTACTAACGATAACGATTTAAACTTCTATTCTCTTTAGGAATCGGGGTGGAAAAGTGATTGTTTTGGCCCAAATTAGCTCCCATCAGTTCCATCGCTTTCTTCTTCCTTTCTCCCTTTTAACACTAACATCAAAATCGTATTTCTTTCCAGGCGATGGCCCTGCGGAACATCGCGCTTTTGTGCGGCCGGACCCGTGGCGTTTTGGCGACGCGAGGAGCCGCTCACTTCAACTTCCAGCCCACCGAAGCCCCCAAGGAATATGGTTAGCCAGCCTTAAAAGTTGTTTTATATGCTTTTAGGCGAAGAAAGGACGAAAATGAACCTGTGCCAGGCTGTAAACAACGCGATGGATATCGCCATGGCCACCGATCCTTCGGCTATACTTTTTGGTTAGTTTTTTTAATATTGCAAGCCGAAAAGATTGGGATTTGAAGCCTGGACGTCTATTTTACCTTTTAGGCGAAGACGTCGCCTTTGGAGGTGTCTTCCGCTGCTCGTTGGGTCTAAAAGATAAATACGGTATGGATTTCAACGCTTTCGGGAAGTTTTTTGCGTCCAGGATCTGACCGCGTCTTCAACACGCCCCTCTGCGAGCAGGGCATCGCCGGCTTCGGGATCGGTGTCGCTGTGGCGGGAAGCACGGCCATTGCAGAGATTCAATTTGGCGACTACATTTTCCCAGCTTACGATCAGGTATGGAATCTGCTGTTTAGGATATTTTTGACATGTTCAGCTCGTCAACGAAGCGGCAAAGTACCGCTACCGCAGCGGTGGCCTCTTCGAATGCGGCAAGCTGACCGTTCGAGCTACCTGGGGAGCCGTTGGCCACGGAGCACTCTACCACTCGCAAAGTCCCGAAGCCAATTTCACGCACACACCTGGGATCAAGGTGGGAATTCTATAGCTATTAATCGATGTCTTTCTCAGGTTGTTGTTCCTCGAGGCCCCACGCAGGCCAAGGGACTCTTGCTTTCCTGCATTCGCGACGACAACCCGGCCATCTTTTTCGAGCCCAAGGTGAGAACTGATAACCAGATTTTTGTGAATTAAAAAAATGTTTTAATTCTAAATAAAATTTCCGCGTTTTAGATCCTCTACCGTCTGGCGGCCGAAGAAGTCCCAACGGGCGACTTCATGATTCCTCTCTCAAAAGCGGAAACCGTTCGGTCAGGTACTATTTTTATTTCCTATCTATTACTTTTACATTTTTAATATCAAATTTTGGGTTCAAGCTGTTTTTAATGCTTTGTTACCCTCCCTATTCTAGGAAAAGACGTGACAATCGTTTCTTGGGGCACACAGGTGCACGTTTCCTTGGAAGCTGCCCAGTTGGCACAGGAAAAGTTGGGCGTATCGGTCGAGGTAACAATGATTTTTATCTTAAAACGCTTTCTTTTTAGGTTATCGATCTGCAAACGATCCAACCCTGGGATGAGGAGCACATCGTCCAGGTATTTTTAAATTTTTTTCATATCACCGGAAACCCTTTCTTCTAGAGCGTCAAGAAGACAGGCCGTTTGATCGTCTCCCACGAGGCGCCCAAGACGAGTGGATTTGGTGCCGAGATCGCGGCGGCGATTCAGGTTGGATTTTCGCTGCTTGGCATTATAGTTGGGGGCAGGCGGACCCTTTTCTATAAATTCTAGTCTAAATTTTCTAGTCAATTTGAGCCATATTTGTACGGACAAAAATTGTGACTCAGTTTTAATAAAAATTATGGTCTTTTTATTTAAAAAGTAGAAATATTGAATGAACAAATAAATTGCTAATATTTTCCTCCTCAGGTAATGTAAAAAACAACACAGATTTTGTGGCCAAGATCGTAGAAATTTATTCCTTTCCTTTCAGGAACGTTGCTTCCTGCACCTCGAATCACCGGTGGCCAGGTCGTGCGGATGGGACACGCCGTTCCCCCACGTCTACGAGCCCTTCTACCTGCCGACCGTCTGGAGGGTGTTCGACTCGATCAAGAAGACTGTCAACTTCTAAGCAATCCATATCGACTCCACGCGCTTTGTTATACTTTTTCGCCCCACTAAATCATTCGCGCTTAAAACCGGTGTATCCGTTTTGTCAAATCCAATTTAGAGAAATAACGATCACTTATCATTGAACTCGCCCGTCAATGGACGCACGAAATTATCCCCTCCCCCAATACGCATTGTGGCTTTTCGCGTTGTGTGTGGCCTCTCGTTTTTTTCGATCGTTCGTTTGTTTTATAGAGATTTATATATTCGACCCGGGTCCGGTTGGCGTAGGCACCGAACCCCCTGGGGCACATCGTTGCCTTGTGCGTTGTTTCTAGGAGCTTACCGTACCGTGAGATGTGCATTTTGGGTTTTTTAAGCCGAATAAATGACGACTATGCTATATTTGGATAGTCTGCAGGAATTTTCGCCGGGATGACTTTCTACTTACTAGGGAAGTGCAAATAAAAAATCTGGAAAATCGCTTAGCAAAAATATGGGTCTGATAGAGTCGACGACGGGGATTCCGAAACTGCAATCAGAATTTGCAAAACGCTTAATACAAAAAAGTTATGAGCCTTTTAAGTTTACAGCACTCTTCTCGCCCTCCCTTATGAGCCCCTCCCAAAGACGGGTGTCCGCATGTCGAGTGGTGTAGTGGCTAACTAGCCTGCCCCTGGGGCGGAGGGTCTTTGGTTCGGCTCCCCGGTCATGCCAAATTTTTTGCTTTTTGGTCAAAGTCAAGAACTTTATACTTTTTCAAAGTTTCGAAGTCCGAAATTTAAATTTTTGAACATTTTCTTTACTATTGACTGCGTGTGTAGGCTTACCTTACGAACAGAGGAAACAAGAGTTTTATTTTAGTGCCCTACCCGTACTCCCGTACGGGCGTACGGGTAGGGCAGTACTTGCACTCCCGCCACCACTTCGTAATCGGTTTCATGAATTTAAAAATTAAGAGAACGAACTTTTCGACTTCGAAACTTTGAAAAAGTATAAAGTTCTTGACTTTGACCAAAAAGCAAAAAATTTGGCATGACCGGGGAGCCGAACCAAAGACCCTCCGCCCCAGGGGCAGGCTAGTTAGCCACTACACCACTCGACATGCGGACACCCGTCTTTGGGAGGGGCTCATAAGGGAGGGCGAGAAGAGTGCTGTAAACTTAAAAGGCTCATAACTTTTTTGTATTAAGCGTTTTGCAAATTCTGATTGCAGTTTCGGAATCCCCGTCGTCGACTCTATCAAACCCATATTTTTGCTAAGCGATTTTCCAGATTTTTTATTTGCACTTCCCTAGTTAGGAAAATGGCGCTCAAAGCCACACAAAACCGTTAGAACCATAAAAAAACCAGCTCGCTGACACCCGCCCTCCATAAATAAATGGAAATGTGGCGATTGTTCGGCCCCCATTTTCTCGCCTGCTTCTCCCCCGTCTCTATGTGTCGACGACTCCTTATCGGTCGTGCCCAACCCGGAGGGAAGTGAGTGGCCATTCATTCGATCGGCTGCAGCCGCATTCCTTGCCCTCAGCCCTACCCCAAAATGCGATCGCTGTTGCTAATTTTTGGTCTATTCGTGGTCGCCGCGGCGAAACATGAGTCGAAATTCGTTGGTTTTCGTTTTTTACGGTTTTTAGATAAGCTCGAAACTTGAAAAAACATCTGGTACTGGACTGTTAACGGGGGGGGGAGGCAGGACGCTTGGAGCCTTTTAAGTACTGCATACCAAAAGCACAGGCAGGTACTATCGGCCGCGGGTGCTCATAAGCACTCTTTTTGTGTATATTGCAAATAATTTATATAAAAACTATATAACTAAGTCCTATAAATATGTAGAAGATATTATAGTATATTAAAACGCTTAAATTAATATTATTGGACGTTTATTAAGTAGTGTTTCTTAATAAATTACGCCGCGGCCGATAGTACCTGCCTGTGCTTTTGGTATGCCGTCTTTTAAGTCGTTTGTTAAGCATAGAAAGGTCCTGAAAAACTTTTCGACAAAAAATTTTGAAGACTGTCAGGAATTGAAATTTTTAAATACCCAAAAACCTAATAGTAACTATTTTTAGGGGTTTTGGTAAAATTGAGCTACATTTCAAATGCAGAAAGAAAAATAACTCAGAATTCTTAAGAATTGAAATTTTGGCCGAAATAACGATATTTTTTCTATTTTCTAATAAAACTTTGTAAAGTTGTGTTGTTGTAACGTTTCGGCATCGTAAAAACGGTTTAGAAACAGTTATTAATGTATAGCGCTATATTAAAAATGAATTTAAATTGCAATTTTCGATTAAATGGTTAAAATCCTACCCTGCCCCGCCAAAATTCTAGTACCAACTTGATTTCCAGCGAGAAACGTGCGAGCGAGATGCGCAGATCGGTGCCGAGACGCTGGAGAGGTCGTGGCGGGCGATAATGCGCGAGGCCTCGGAGCGAAGGGACATTTTGAGGGCCCGTTTAATGGAAAATATCGTAAAGGTATGGTGTGTTTGTTATTGTGAAGCTTTCAGAATGTAAAGGGTTAAAAATGATCTGCTCTTTTCAGCGTGCTCAACAAGAAGTTGGTGACTACCCGACGAATTGTCCGGCTCCAACTTGCCCGCCCCCCCAATGCGACGATATTCCCGCCGGGTCCCACCAAGGGCACCCCTGCACCACCTTCAACAATTGCCGTACGTTATTATTTATTAACGAAACCCGGTTCTTTTGCATTATCGGGGGGGAGGCGAATTTTTTGTATTGGTCTATGCCTTGTAACTTAATAGGAAGTATTTTAATAGTGTTCTTAATATAACTATCCTTCAACTAGAAATTATCTTAAAACTTGAAAAACGTTTGAAAAAGTGGACATTTGGGCGAAAATCAATTTTTTGTGTGCTATTTTTACGTGAAAATTCGTGAAGTTCTTACGTTTGGGAATAGTAAAGAACCGCTTAGAAACAACACCACTGTTCATATATCAAAAATGTTTGAAACAATGGGCATTTTGTGCAAAAACTGGTCATTTTCGGTCGAAAAATCGAGTTTTTTATATTTTTCCGTAAAATTAAAGGGATGCCGACGGCATAGTCAATCGGTTACGCGCTGGAAAGAAAATGTCTCTGCGCCTCTCCCCAGGGCGCGCTCTCTGCCCTGTTGGCTACTTGCCAATTTGGATCGGGGTAGATCGGGGGATCGACACATGCCGTCGGCAGCCCTTTAAGTAAAACATGCATCCCCCGGGATCTTTTAGCCAACCGGCACGACGAACGCGGCCACGGATGCGTCAGCTGTAAGTTTTCATAAATCTCGGATGGAATGAGGTTTTCTAGGCTTCCGCCGCTTCCGGGGCGTCCAGTTCTGGTGCTCCGACAACGACGGTCTGAATTTTATATTTTTAGACAATACACGTTTAGCCTGGCGCGCAGCCGACGGACGGGTCTTCGGCATCACCTTCGGTAGGTGGAATTGCAACTTTAGTGGCTTGTTTGCACCTATCGCCATAGTTCCTGAACTTTCCTAATGCCGAATTTATCATTATCCACCTATTTTAATCAATTCCAATCATTCCGAATTTAGGCGATTCCATTGGAAGCAGAAGAGATGGAAGAATCGCAACTTGGAGATGTTGTGAGTGTGCTTAGGTTTAGGCTTGGACATAGGCTTGGCTCGGCTTGGCTTAGGTCAGGCTTGGGCTCAGATTTAGGCTTAGGTTTACGCTTGGCTTAGGCTTAGGTTTAGGCTGGGCTTGGGCTTAGGCTTAGACTTATGCTTATGCTTAGGCTTATGCTTAGGCTTAGGCTTAGACTTGGGCTTAGGTTAGGCTTAGGTTTAGGCTTAAGCTTGGCTTATGCTTAGGTTTAGGTTTAGGCTTAGGTTTGGGCTTAGTTTTAGACTTAGCAGCTTTCCCAAGGCTTAATTCTTCAGTTCTTATTTAGCCAACCACCTTCTTCACCACCGATGAGCAAGCCGATCCATTCTTCATTTACATCGATGGGCTGCGGGTAAGAAAATGTTTTAGCGGTTTTATTCAGTATTTATTTTTATACTGAATAAAACCTGTGTTTTCTTTAATATTTCGTGTTTATTTAAAGCTATTAAGCTTTACCTATTATATTTAGAAGTCCCTCTCCGACTCGGCGGCGTGCCATCTCGACGGCCCATTCACCGATATGAACCAAATCACTTGGGAGCAGTTGTATGGCTTCGCCGCGCAGCTCGCCACTGTCCATGTGCGTTTTTTGGATATCAAAGGGAATTCCAGCCTTTAGCCGGGCCCCTTCTGCAACCTTTGCGAGCGGTTCGCCGGCGAGGTGGAGAAGCGCATCAAGCCGAACTGGGTCAAGCACTCGGTGGGTTTATTAAGTGACAAAATTTGAGACTTATAAGAAAGTGTTTTATTAGTGTTCTTATTAATATATAGCTATATTTAAACTAAAAAAACTATCTAAAAACCTTTAAAAAAAATGCCGAAAATTTGGTAAAAAATCGGCCATTTTCGGTCGAAAAATCAATTTTTTTGATATTTTTTAATGTAAATTTGTAAAGTTTTTATGTTTAGGAATAGGAAAAACCTTTATAATGACGTTTAGAGAGAATATTTAGAGAGAAGAGCGATTCCTGATCGAGACGATCCTCACCTATCTGCCCTCACCGCGTCACCTCTGCGCCACCATCGCCCCCGGATGCACTGATGCGTTGGTGCTCGCGAAAAATGGTGCGCATTAATCTCGGTCTTAATGTTATTTTATTTAAAATTAAATTGGGTGAAACGTTGTTGTTTTTCTAGCCCTTAACATATTTTTTAGCCACCGACATCGGGCCGGCCGTTCGCTGTATGGAATGTACGCTGTGCCAATCGGGGCTCAATTGGCTATTCGTGAGTTTTGCAGTTTTAAACTTTTTATAACTTTTTGTAGCACCAAGTGCTGCTCGACAAGCAAGCCATTGAGCAGTCGGTTGTGTGGTTCAGAAAGTTGGTTTTTCATAAATTTTTACATGTATTTCTAGTCTGGGTTCTTTCGCTTTAACTGGGGCACGGAATTTTGGCTAAAACTCCAGAGTATAATGTATCAGTAATATTTTAATAGTGTTTTTAGCGAATTTGCATATTTTTCAAGTAGAAAAACTACCTAAAACACTGGTACATTTTTGAAAATGCTAAAATTTATCGAAAAACCGTATCTTTTGCATTTTTTTAATAAAAAATTCGGAGGGTTTTTCGCTTAGGAATAGTAAAAATAAGTTTAGAAGCGCTGTCCGCGTTTATTTTAGGAAAATTGGAGCCTAACACAAAGAAAAAAGCTGCCCGTCCCCCGATAATGCGAAACACCGTATTCTAATTCGAAATTTACCCTTTCCAGCTCGTTCGCCTATTCCGCATGTGCTGATTTTTGCCCGCTTGCCAACGAGATCCAGCTGGGCAGCCAATGCTTCACGATGGATCGAGTAAGGTCTTTATATTTTACATATATTGATTTTATTGATGTCATATCATATATTTTTTTAAATAAATTAAGTATTCAAATTCAAGGGCTATTTTAGTGCCAAGACTACCTCGTGCGGATGTACCGAGATATCGTAGATGCTCTCGTCGTTCTGTTGAGACCCGAGCGATTTTGTGTTTTGGTAGGTGAAGAAAAAATTGCGAATAAGCAAAAATATAAACACAAAAAATTAATAAGTTTTGCTGATAATCACGACGAAAATATAATAATGCTAAATAATGAAAAAGACACAAAAAAATACAATAAATTTTATTTAGACGCTGAAATGGTGCGACCTCGGCGAGCAGCCGAATATTATGCATTGTTTGCGGGAATTGTGTGAAGAGGGTGGGCCTATTTTAAAAAATCTTTTCTATTTTATTGTTTTTATATTTGATGTTTTTACTAATTAAAATTTGTTATATATTAATTAAAATGAATAATTTTATCATTAATGCTTTTTTAGAGCTGGGTAATACAGCGCATCTCGGCTGGATTTGCGCGCTAATCCCGGATCGACCAAAGGAGGCCGATAAATTCTTGAATATTCAAGAAACAAAGGTATAATATCACGTTTTTAAAACAGCAATTTAAAAATATCTATAGTTATTAATAATTTTAATATTTTGTTAATTTTTCAGATGGAGAAAGGAATGAAAGACTACCACTACGCGTACTATGAAAATTTTGGAAAAGATGAATTGTGATTCGGCTGCTATTCGAAGGCGGCTACCAGATAAATTAACTTAAAACCCTTCACCTGAGCCATGACACTGCTTGGCTTGTCGGTAACATCTTTGTCGGGACTTTGCCGTGTCGGTTTTTTGGCGATCGGGCTTATGGCTGCCTGGATTTTGCCTTGTCGGGATTTTGGCGGTTGGGGTTCTTGTTTTCTAGGTCTTGGTTGTCGGCATTTTGCCATGTCGGTACTTCTGGCGGTCGTATGGCTGTCGGGATTTTGGCTTGTCGGGCATATGGCTCTAGGAATTTTAACTTGTCGGTATTTTGGCTCTCCGGCATAACGGCAGACGGGATTTTGGCTGTCGGTATTTTGCCTTGTCGGGATTTCAGATGTCGGTATTTTACTGTCGGGATTCTGCCTTGCCGGCATTTTGACTATCAGGGATAACTGCTGCCGGAATTTTGCCATATCGGGATTTTCGATGTCGGTTGTATCGCTGTGGGGATATCTCTGCCGGTATTTTGACGTATTCCCTGGCCAGGCGTATTTTAAAAACTTTATCCAACGATACTCGAAGAGAAAAGAGAGAATAATAATAATCGAAAAGTGTGTGTGCGGGTGGCAAAATGTAGCAAGAGTAGGAGGGAGAGAACGAGAGAGGGAGAGCGAGAGAGAGAGGGAGAATTCGAACATTTCGAGAGGAGAAACTAGGATATCGTATCAAGAACAACATTCACAAGCATATTCTGACAAAAAAAAGTGGAAAAATATCCGAAAATAATGGAAAATTCGGGGGGCAATAAATAGAAAGAGGGGCTGACTAGACAAATTCCGGGGGGATAGATACGGTAGTCAAAGAGGTGCTTTTTAAAAAATGAGAATAGAGCGCTTTTGGGAAAATTTCATAAAATAGTAATTAGGTGGTAATAATATAATGTAATAATAAATGCTTGATGGTGGTCGAGCCGGGGGTTTTTGAATTTTGTAAAATTACCTTATAGAGTATTACAGCTGTATCTTTATTAAAGATTTTTGAATCTGAAAAATTGCCTTTTGTAGCCTCAATTTTAATATTAGCTATTTATCCTTTTAATTAAGCCAAAAATAAGGTTATATCCTTGAAAACCCCTTTCTAATAATTTGCCCGGCTCGAGGAATAAATAATTGGCATTATTAATATACTAAAAAATCCCAAAAATCGTTTAAAAACAGCTTTTAAGTGCCGAGAAAAAATAGAAAAAATTGTGCGCAGCGCAAGGGGAAAGATCATCAAGGTTCAGCAAAAAAAAATAGGAAAATCAAGGAGAGGCGAGAGATAAAAACGGGACGACGGAAAATACAAGCGAAACACGCGAGACGACGATTTGACCAATTGCATATTGAGATTTTGGGAATCTCGGGGCTTGGGGGGCGGGGGGGGAAGAGGCGAGCGGCTAGCGCGGTAGAGGCTGATTTGGTAGTCTGTAGTCTGTAGTTTGTAGTTTTGTCGTTTGGCTTCATTAATAATACGAGAATTTCTTAGTTACAGACCACAAAGTTTAGACTACAAATCAAACTGTACTGTTCACTTTGTAGCCTGTAGTTTGTAATTTGGCGTCATTAACATAAAGATGATTTAAGCCGTCGAAACTACAAACTACAGGCTACAAACCAAAACGGCACCCCCTGGACAAAAAACCGGTGCTGCTGCGCCCTGGGAAGGGAGATTTTTGGTACTGGGCTGTTAGCGGGGGGGGGGCGTAATCAAAATTTTTCTAGCACTCCTGCCAGGTCCTAGAAGGAAATATAAACCATTTTTCGCATTTTGAGGCAAAAAGGTATCAAAATGACAAAAAAGCCAAAATTTTCGAAATTGAAAAATATTTTCATATTTTCCAGCGTTTAAATAGGACCAAAAACTATCAAACTGATTTATAGATTTTTAGCGGGCAGGTACAGCCGGAAAAAGAGACATCTAGCTTCCCCCCACCGCTAACAACCAAGTGCCGAATTGTTGACCTATAATGGGGAAGATTGCAGCGTCAATTTTATGGAAATAGCCGAAATTTGCATATCAAAAATCCGTGACGCGGCGATAGAGAAAAGCTCGGCGATTGTGTGGGGGATTTCCGGAAATAATCGACAGTTTCGGCAAGGCGCCAAAACCTGCAAGGGGCATCCTAACGCTTATACATAACTTAAGGTCGGGAAATTTGCATCCAAAGCCGCAGAATTAAGGGAGAAGGCAGGAACTCGGGGTTGGGTTTGGGAAAAACAGGATGAGACGCTTCTATCGACGGGCGGCAGTATGGGGAGCAGTAGGAGAGAGGGGGAGGACTACGCGCGACACCTCAGTACAGCCCGCAACCTCGCAGGTTGTTCGCAATGATCACGTCGGTGACGGCGTCGAAGACGAACTGGATGTTTGTCGTGTCTGTCGCGCACGTCATGTGGCAGTAGATTTCCTGGAATGGGAGAGTATTTAGAGAGAGGGAGAGACAGAGAGAGCGAGAGGGGAGAGAGAGGCAGGGAAAGAGAGAGAGTGTGAGAGAGCGCGTGAGAGCGAGAGAGAGAAGAGAGAGACAAAGAGAGAAAGGCAGAGAGAGAGGCAAAAAGAGTGAGAGACAAAGAGAGAGAGAGAGCAAGAGAGAGAGAGAGAGAGAGAGAGACAGAGTGTGAGAGAGAGTGAGAGAGAGTGAGAGAAAGAGAGAGAGCGTGTGAGAGCGAGCGGAGAGAGAGTGAGGCAAAGAGAGAGCGGGAGAGAGAGGGAGAGAGAGAGAGAGAGAGAGAGAGAGAGAGAGAGAGAGAGAGAGAGAGAGAGAGAGCTCAACAACCCAAACGCACCTTGTTCGCCGACTTGTTCTTGGCCTCAAATTGTGCCTGAATGTATGCAGATGCCTCGTGGTAGTCTTGCCGTCCCGAATATTCAGGGAAACAGACAGTCAATGGGCTCTTCTTGATCTTCTCCTCAAAGAGATCCTTCTTGTTGAGGAAGAGGATGATCGACGTGTCCGTGAACCACTTATTGTTGCAGATCGAGTCGAACAGCTTCAGCGACTCGTGCATTCGATTCTGGAAACTCGGGAGGTTGCGATGAAAATTTTTGGCGATATTTTTTATCATGTAAGTGGTCATGAATACTTTTTTAATTGCTAAAACCAACCGTGGTCTCATCTTCATGGAGTACTTGATCATATTCGCTCATGGCCACGCAGAAAATGATGGCTGTGACGTCTTCGAAGCAGTGGATCCACTTCTTTCGCTCCGACCTTTGGCCTCCCACGTCGAACAATCTGCAATTTGGAAAAATTTATATAAGCTCCTCTATTGCATTCTTGAATTCCTAAAAAACCTCTTCGAGTTGGCCCTCTATTTAAATAGTACCTTAAAAACTTGCAAAGTCATGTAAAAATGCTTTAAAAAAGGAAAAGCTACTTTTTAAAATTTAGCACGAGACCTTTAAAAGCCTGCTCACTACGTAATGTACGTAAAAACCTATGCGAAATACGTGAAATTATTTATAAAACTCATTAAGATTAGAAAACTCATCTAAAAAACTTTAGATGGTGTTTTCCAGCCTGTGAGCTACGAAAATGTACGCAAAAACATGCTCAGGATACGTGAAAATGCGTAAAACTGCTTTTAAAACCTTTGAAAATAGGATTCTTTGATTAAAAAGCCTGAAACGTGTTTTCCAGCCCGCCGACTACGTAATTGTACGTAAAAACGTGCGCAAGCTACGCAAAACGTATTACTGAAACTCACTTGAAGTTGAGATTCTTGAAAGTGAAGTGTACTTCGACGATACCCGTCGTCTTGACACGAGTACGGAGGATATCCTGCTCGGTTGGTTGGTATGACGCTTCACCCAACCGCTCCAGGTCATCAAGGAAACTGAAAAAATATGTTTAGTTTATTTAGTCTTAAAATCATATTTTTTTGAACTGAAAAATGTTATAAAACCGCTTACTATTTTGCTGAGTCGTTGAGCTGATATTCATTGGATCGGGAGAAGCACTCTTGGACCCCGGAATCCGCCCACAACCGCTTCATCGCAGCTGAAAAGGGGAAATTAACATTTTATTTTGTTTTGTTTTTAAATTTAATTTTAAATTATTTCAATTGTTTAAAATTTCTAAAATTGAATTATATAAAAATCTTAAAAATGGAGTTTGGTAAAACCTACACAATAATTCCTCTGAAAACGGCTCGGTGTCCTCCATTCTTGCGACAACGTCCATTACGAGCTTGGCGTCACCCTAGAAAGTTGAGATAAGAGATGGAGAGCGAGAGAGAGAGCGAGAGAGAGCGAGAAAGAGCGAGAGAGAGAGACAGAGAGAGAAAGAGGGAGAGGGAGAGCGAGAGCGAGTGAGAGCAAGAGAGATAGAGAGCGAGAGAGATAGCGAGGCAGCCAGAGAGCGAGAGAGAGAGAGTGTGGGAGAGAACGAGCAAGAGAGCAAGCTCACCTCTCGGTCAGTGGTCCCGAACGCGACCCCAAGGTTGGCCATGGCGCGCAGGATGGCAACCAGTGACTGGACGGTATTGCTGTAGACGACCGGCTTGTACTGCTTGTAGTCCTCGGCGGTGAACCCGGACTCGTGGATAATCCTGGAAGAGAGGTTTTTAAAATGCTACCCATATTTTAAAAAAACTCCCGATTTTCGCGCAACTGCGACAAGTTCAAGAAGTATTTTTTAGCTCTAGAAGCGGCCCAATTTAAGTGATAATTATTAATACCAAATGGCACAAATTTTCCAGCTTCTAAAGTATTTAAAAAAAAATTTGTAGGGCAGAGGCGAATAAGGAGTAAAACGTAGTATAAAACAAAGCCCACTTCATCTGCTTGACGATGGTGGACTTTCCGGACTCTCCGGCTCCCAGCAGCAACAACTTGATGTCCTTTGCCGCTTGCATACCGTCCTCCTTCAGGTTCTTCTCGATCATCCGTGACCGCTCGAGAGCGGCCCGCTCCTCCTAAAAAGAAGAATAGGATCTTTAAGGTCTAATACGTTATGAACTTAACTTTTTTATTATTCCGAAACT